ATTTAAAATAATAAGATATCAGAGATATACATTTAAAACAATAAGATATCAGAGATATATATATTTAAAATAATAAAATATCATAACTATATATTTAAAATAATAAGATATCAGAGATATACATTTAAAATAATAAGATATCAGAGCTATATATTTAAAATAATAAGATATCAGAGATATACATTTAAAATAATTAGAGATCAGAGCTATACATTTAAAATAATTAGATATCAGAGCTATATATTTTCTATTTAAAAGGACTTTAGGTACCTAAAGTTTAGTGATAAATGTGCATTTCCGATTTGCAACAGTACCGATACATTTTTTGTACAAATTATTTATCCAGCTATTTTGTTTTTGAAAACTGTTATTTTTTGTGTTTTCTCTGAAAGGTAACAAGGCAAAGTTTACTTCAGAAACAATGGAAAAAATTACATAGTTTATTTAATTTAATCCTTTGCAAAAACCGAAGGTATCTTTCACATTTTTTATCAGATTAAGGCTTAAAGGGGAGGGGCACTTAAATTACGCCGACAGTCCCTTTAACTAACCTTTTTTGTGAGATTGAATTCAAATGAAAAATATGTACTGTTCTGCAAATTCTCTTTTCAAAAAAAGAAGTATTCAAATCTTTATGGAAATTTTGTTGATTAAATTTATTTTAACTGAAATCAGCTTTGCAAAATTACTCCTTGAATTTAACTTGATTGCATCTAGTTTTGAATGGAAAAAATCTGCAAAATGCAAAAATTGTCACAAAAGCTAATATTAAGATAACTTGTTTCGTTTTCTCACCAAATCAAAACTACAATGTCACAAAGTCAAACCAGTGATGTCGTGTATATTAGACCTTATTTTCTTATCACCTTTTGTGAAAAATTGAAGGGAAAGCATTCCGATTAACAATTAAATTGGGGCCAAAATTAATGAATATAAAAAAGTAGTTGAACAACGTAAATTAACTTGAACCACTTCTCTCGAACTTAAAATTTAAAAAAAAAATTGGTCAAATTCTGATTCTTCTGATCCAAGAGTGCAGTGATTTAGTAATTCGGCTTAACTACTACTCGCTATGTAATAATTACAGAGGCTCATCGTAATCTAGATACATTATGTTGTACATTGTCCTTAAATCTAAATGCGCTCATTAGCAAATACACAGTTTATGTATTGCGATAACCCAACATAGAAACCTATATATATAATTCCATCAAACCCAAATTGTGATTAGTTTAACTACAATATATATAACGACGCATAACTTGTAGTTATGTCTGTTATAACTTAAACTTTAATCTAGAACCAAAATATACTTAGTTGGTATAGACTCCGCTTTGATTACAGCGAGAGAGTAATTATTCCTTGTTTTAACGGATAAGTTGAGGAAATTGCGCCCATTGGTTTAGCATTGATAGTTTACAGGCTAGTGTCTGTGCTGACATCAATAGCTGACAAGATCGTGCCCATTGGTTTGGCATTGATAGTTCACGAGTGTGTGTCTAAATATTGACGTCGATAGTAAAGTTAAACTGAGGTGTACCTGGATAGATACGGGGTTGAGAAACTCTGATGGAGTAGGGCGTTTACTACAACTATTCATTAAATTCGACCAAATTATTTGATCTTAGCTTTAAACCAAGAAAAATGGAATTAATGTTCTATACAAACTATTCAATAAAACTCTATGGTATTCAGCATAGACACACACTCATTTGCACGGACAAACACCCCGTATAAAGTAAAGGAACTGTGAGTGTAATTTAATACCAAGATGACATTGCCTGATTTACAACGGTTCCCTGAAAAGCTTTGATCAATTGAATTAGATATCAATGTATTTGTTTCTTTAAACTGCTTTTTTCATTTTGGTTTCTTTGCGAAAGTGAGTTGCACATTTATTATTGAAAAGAAACAATGCAGAAATTAACAGAATTAAACACTATTTTAAATAAAGGTTTCAAAGGTAATGTTGTAAATCGGACATTTATCTTTGAAATTACACGTACAGTCCCTTTAAGATCTTCCAATAAGATCCAGACAAACACACACTATATTATAAACATGATTGACTTCCTAGAATCTCGCGATCTAGGCCCAGGAGAGGTTCGGCAGGTGGATGCTCTAGGACTAAATCTTGCTGTCTTCAGGTAGATAAATATATAGATATATAAATAATAATAAATACATATATAGATAGATTCTGAAAGATTGGATATATATATTATTCATATTTATATATATCCAATCTTTCAGAGTTCAATTAGATTAAAGCTCATGCGTAAGTGAAAGAAATCGTTACGCGTAATCACGCATAATTAGCGTAGCGTAGTTATGACTCACGCACCCCTGACCATTTAGTAAAAGTAAATTCAACCTAAAGTCTGACCGCGTCAACCTTGTTGCATCGTCTAGTCCTATTGAGTGTCTGCTTTATTAACCCGATTTTCGGGCGATACAGTACAAACTGGGACCGGAAAAGTTGACCCGGCTCGGAAATTCAAATGTACCACGGCTGCCCGTGGACTGGAAGCCCTAAATTGAAAACTTGATGTATGAAAATATTGGTATCTCCTATGAAAGGGGGTTTCCTATAGCACTCCAATGATTTATTCCCAGACTCGGAAAACTATCTGACCATGAAAATAATTAAATATATTTTGTTTAGAGGTGAAAGTGGTGAGGTCTTCATTCATGATGCCTACTGTCCCCATCTAGGTGACACAAATTAAATTCAATGATACAAAAGTGCCAAAATCCAAATATTTTGATTTTTAAATTTTTCAATTTTTTAAATATGTAGATAAGACCAGGCTTTTAGTCGTTGCTCTATTTGTGAGCATTTTCTTTTCGTACAGTGTAAAACAATAACAACAAATTCATTGAAATTTTTGAAATTACGTTTAAAAGGGAGTGTTCGCAAAAAATGAAAGGGATATTGGCTTACGTCGAAAAATATTCGATTGTGAATTTAACTCATCTTACTTCTATATGTTTGGTCTGCAAGTAGAAAATTGTTAAAAACGACTCATATTGAAGAACGGTGCGTCCATTCGAATTGAGAAAGTATATCATATAGCGCCACCCGCGAAAACAAGTTGTAAACGAAATATTAATTTTAAAAAAATCTGAAATATTATAAAATATCAACTATATACGAATGCGTATCAATGATTAAATAGGCTGTAATATCTCAATGATTTGTTAGGAATTCAATTGATTTTTTACGATCCGAGTTGAATGTTGCAGTTTTCTGAATTTGCATGGAAGCTATGGTCTCCGGTATGAGTCGTTTTTAACAACTTTCTCCTTGCAGCCGCCTATTTAATTTGTTTTATGTTATTCAGGAGCCAATCTTTGCAGTGGGGGCAGGGTCGAGGATGATTGTATTAGATGCCCTTTTCATGGATGGAAGTTTAGGTAAACATTTTAAAAACTATAATGAAAGTATTTGCAATAAAGAACTGAGCCTTTACCACAAACTCAAATTTTATAATTACTTGATCGTGTAAACCTTTGATATATCAAACTTAGATTATTTGATCGAACAGAATTCAGAGTCTGAAATATCTAAGGTCTATGACATCAGGTTGCAAATATATAAAGATTAGAAAATCAGAGTTGTGGCAAAGATTCAATTCCTGAAGTCAAATTGTTGAAACTTTCGGTAAAGGAATTGAGTCTTTGCCACAAACTCGGATTTTTAAAACCCAATTTCTTTAAACCCAAATGTCGTAGACCGTAGATATTTCAAACTATGAATTCTGGTGGATCAAACAATTTAAGTTTGAAATATGAAAGGTATGCATCATTTGGTTGTTGATTTATAGGTATTATAAAATTGGGATTTGTGGCAAAAAATCAATTCCTTTTCAATATTAGTTTTTTTTAATTTTAATTTTTGCAAAGTGGGCGTACAGGAGAGTGTGTAGCTATCCCATACTCTAATAAATCTATACCAAAGGTAAAATACAAACTATTACTTATTGTTTTTTATTTTAAAATTTTGAAGTTTAAAAATCAATCTTATTGTCCAGTTTTAAATACGACTCTAAAATGTAAAGCTTTAATATTCAAAACTTAATGACTTAACACAGAAAGAATCAAGGTTACATTTGCAGAAATTTTTATAGAGAAAAAAGATTTACTAAATTCGTCGCTGAAAGTCTGAGGTTGGATTTTTTTTATTTTTTTATATTTTAAAATTTTCACGTTTCAAAATCAATCATACCCTTATTCAATGCGAATACTTAATTGTATAATGTAAATCAAAACTTAATTATTTACTGATTTAACAAAGAAAAAAATAGTTTAAATTTGCGGGAACATTAAAAAATATTCAGTAAATCCGTCTCTGATAATCTGAAATTTAATTCTTTGTGTGTGTACCCCTGAAAAATAATTTCAGACTGCGAAACTGAAGAAATATATTCATCTGGAGTTAAACCAATTGATTTATATTTGGTTTCATACACAGGTTAGAATACAACACTCGCTATATAGTTAGTTCATTAGTTATTTAGAGAGTTAGTTAGTTAGTTATTTAGAGAGTTAGTTATTTAGAAAGGTATCTATGATATATGGTAGATATAGTTAGCCAGAGAGATAATTAGCTATAGAGATAGTTAGTTCGTTATTTATTTAGTTAGCTAGTTGGTTCGTTGGTTGGTTAGTTAGTTAGTTAGTAAGCTAGTTAGTTAGTTAGATAGCTAGTTTGTTATTAAGCTAGTTAATTAGGTAGCTAGTTAGTTAGTTAGCTAGTTTGTTAGTTAGTTAGTTAGTTAGGTAGTTATATAGTTAGGTAGTTAGTTAGCCAGTTAGTTAGTTAGGTAGTTAGCTAGCATACACTTCTAACTAGGGCTGAGGAACTATAGTTTCTTACATGAACAAACAGAATAATAAGAACAATGCCATCGTTATGAAAAATGAACGAATGCGAAAAACGCGTTCTTAAAAATATTGAAATGATCTATAAATTAACTAACTAGAATCGAACGGTCCAGCGGAAGTCATGTTATTGATCTAGAATGAGGAACGAACCCTTGTTCTAAAACGAGGAACGAACATTTGTTCAAGAACAAGGAACAAATCCTTGTTCTAGAACGAGGAATAAACCCCGGTTCTAGAACGAGGAATGAACCCTTTTTCTAGAACGAAGAATGAACCCTTGTTCTAGAACGAGGAATAAACTCTTGTTCTAGAACGAGGAATGAACCCTTGTTCTAGAACGAGGAATGAACCCTTGTTCTAGAACGAAGAATGAACCCTTGTTCTAGAACGAGGAACGAACCCTTGTTCTAGAACGAAGAATGAACCCTTGTTCTAGACAGAGGAATGAACCATTGTTTTAGAACGAGGAACGAACCCTTGTTCTAGAACAAGAATGAACCCTTGTTCTAGAAAAAGGAATGAACCATTGTTTTAGAACGAGGAACGAACCCTTGTTCTAGAAAGAGGAATGAACCCTTGTTCTAGAACGAGGAATGAACCCTTGTTCTAGAACACAGAACAAACCCTTGTTCTAAAACGAGAAATGACCCCTTGTTCTAGAACGAAGAATGAACACTTGTTCTAGAAAGAGGAATGAACACTTGTTCTAGAACGAGGAACGAACCATTGTTCTAGAACAAGGAATGAACACTTGTTCTAGAACGAGGAAATCTATCAATCTCTCTCTATCTTTGTTTGTTTTTAATCTTTGTGAAGAAACAATCTCAAGAACTGACGAGGGTCAACCCAGACCGAAATATATTTTCAATAAATGTGGAACTAACATCTACTTTTTTACTCTACAGAGGTTTGGTCCATCACCATCACTGAATTCTAAATCTATCTATCTATCTGTCTCGCTCGCTCTCTCTTACACTCATTCCTGCTTCAAAATATTACATATTGACAATTAGGTTTTAAACTGAGTATATCCTGTCTACATATACATCCTTTCTGTCTTCCCTTTACCCTTCTCATACCACCCCTCCCCTTCATGTCTTCCCCCCCCCCTTCTCATCTACTTACCTATGATTTTCCCACCTGTTTTTCTTTCCCCTTCCTTATAACATCATTACCCTCCCTCCCCACTCCCTCGTAATTACTATTTACAATATATAAACCTATTTCAATTATAGATTTATCTATCTATCAATCCCTTCCACTCTCCCTCCCTCCCCGTCACCTGTCATTCCGTCTACCAACCGCCACCCGCTGTATTTTAACTCCTCATCTATCTATCAATCTCTATTTCTTACAGTCACCCGCCATTTCGTCATCCATCCCCCGCTGGATTCGCCTAACAACCGCCACCCGCCATATTTAAAGTATGTTTGAATATATATATATTTAGTTTATTAGTACATCTCATAACATCAACATTATCATTATGTTATCCTTACCACAGCTTATTTGTTGTCAAAAATCGGAACTCGCACCTGTAACGTTTAGGGATTGGTTGAAAGATGTGAATCATGTATACATTGGACCTCATGCACCTAGATACAGCGGAAACCTCGAAGCTCAAGATGATTGGATTTATCCTATTGTTGAAGACCAGTTTAGAACAAATTCAATTGATAGAGTTCAATATCTAAATATTTATAGTTCATGGTTGATAAATAATAAATACGCAGAATTGGATAATCTCTTTGGAAAGATTATAGGATGTTGGTGTCAAAGTCCACGAGTCTGCCATGGAAGCATCATCATCAAGCTCTGTAAAGAAAAAAGAGAACTGACTCGTCGAATGGTAGAATCTGATGAAAAGAAGGAGGAGGATATAGAGGAATTTCCCAAGATTAAACGATATGCAAAATTGGTCACTGTTTAGTATCATCAATTGTGTATTAATAATATGTTTGATATAATAAAAATTGAATATTTTACGTATTTGGTTAGAGAGAGTTAGGGAGAGAGTTAGAATGAAAGAGAGAAAGAAAATATTGATTTATAAACTTAAAAGTTTATCATTATGAATGAGAAATATGATAGTTTAAAGGTTACTTATTTAGATATATGAAGAGATGATATGTTAACTCCTTATTTTTATCTAAAGATTTAAAGATGACGATTTTTTGATATAAATATAGAATATATAGATATATTTATCATTTTATCTAAAGACTTCAACATGAATGTGTCTAACATTAAGATCTCTATTCATTTTCAAGATGACTGTTTTCAAAAACTACACACTAATGAAAAAATTATCTTTAAAGAAAAAAAATGGAGTATTATCCACTATATTCACAGTCCTCGTATTGTAAACGTTACTGGGATAAAATCAGAAGAAGAAATATCACAAGTTATCCAGTTTCTAGAACGAAAATATAATAATAAATGTATAAAACATCAGATAGATTCAATTATGATTACTCATAAAGATTATAAATCGATTCAAATGATTGATATAATTAATAATTTGAAATCAATAACAAATCTATATTATGCAGATTACAATCCAGAATTATTTACAGGAATATATTTAAAACCATATGATCGTACGTATCCAACTGTTAATATGTTTTACACTGGATCATTTCAATTACTAGGTGGAAAGAGCTTTGAAAAAATTCATATTACATTTAATATTATAAAAAAATTGATAGAAAAATGTGAAAATGTAAATTATTAATTATGTTAACTTGTGAATAATATGAGTTTTATATTGTAAATAAATATCTCAATTTACATCAGATTTTCTTCAAAACATGAAGAGAGAGATGAAGGGAGGGAAAGGGTAAATATAATGATTGGGAGAATATTGAGGCAAACCACAGAATGCCATTCCTATATTTCATTTCCTCTCCTCATTTCCATCTACTTACCCCAACGATTTCCCTCANTAAGATGTATCTCCGGCTTAATTCTTTGAATCATTCTTTACAGGAACTGTACAAACACAATCTTAATCCACCTTTCATGCATGGCAATGGCCGATTCACTTAAATGTACCCTTGAAACCTTTATCTAATCTAAAATCTGGAAGATATTGTCGTTATTCTGACTTGAAAAATGTTTAATAGATCCATTTTTCTTATAAGGAAAAGATAAGCAAGCCACTTTTATTGATTAATCCTAAAATAAAATTAACATTTTGAATAAACAAAACGTGAATATCTAATAAATAACATGGATTTGGCAAAGGTTTAAAGAGTACTATTGAAAATCGAACATTGACATCTTTGCATTGAGGGTCACTAACAGTAATTATTTTTAGGGTAGAACCGAGTACTATGTAAACTGCAGTATCCAGGAAATCCCGGAAAATGGTGCTGACCCCTCACATCTAGCCAGGAAATGTATTCATGGATGTCAAAATAGAGGTCAATAACCTCAGATTCCTTTGTAGATAACTAACTACATTTGAAAGCTACATGCAAAGTTTCTGAATGTTAACGACCAAACGCACCAGCCTGTGCAAAATTTGGTGTGACAAAGTGTTGAATTTTTTCCCCCCCCCCCTCTCTTTTTTATAAAGTTAAAATGGATAAACGATAAAAATGGATATGTTTGCCTGTTGCAGTGTTCACAAAACTGGTGAGATTATTTTTATAAACATCTTATATAGATTGAAGATTAATAATTTCCTCTTCGGAGATTTGTTTTGATAATTTTGCACTGATATATATCTGGACTATGAGAGTAAATCATCACATTTTTTTGGTTTGCAGTGTTCGTATGATAGGTATAGTACTCAGTCCCTTTACACTTAATTATCGTTGGGACATAGTACACAGTCCCTTTACATTTAAATATTAGCTGAACCATCATACATTATTATTTTGTATTTTGTGTCTGAAAATAAATACTATAACTATAACTATAACTATATTGTTGGGATAAAGTGCACAGTTCCTTTACATTTGATTATTGTAGGTATAAAATACTCAGTCCCTTTACATTTAATTATTGTATGTATACAGTACTCATCCCCTTCACATTTAAATATTGTAGGTATATAGTATAAAGTCCCTTTACATTTAAATATTGTGGATATACAGTACACAGTACCTTTACATTTGAATATTGTAGGTATACAGTACACAGTACCTTTACATTTGAATATTGTAGGTATACAGTNAGGGACTGAAAAAATTCATACCGAGAGATTCTTTTAATTCCTCTCTATATATTCTATTCTCTATGTATACAGTACACAGTCCCTTTACATTTAAATATTGTAGATATACAGTACACAGTACCTTTACATTTAAATATTGTAGGTTTACTGTACACAGTACCTTTACATTTGAATATTGTAGGTATAGTACCAGGGGGAGGAGAACCAGGAAGGATTAGGGATAAAATCACTTCAAAAATTTGGTATTATCATCAAAACCTTTTATTATTAGGTTAAAAAAATAGATCAAAATGATGATAGAGATAATATTAGTAATTAAATAATAATAATAATAATAATAATTATAATAACAACAATAATAACAATAATAATAATAATAATAATAATAATAATAATAATAATAACAACAATAATAATAATAATAATAATAATAACAATAATAACAATAATAATAATAATAATAATAATAATAATAATAATGAATTAGTACTCACTCCTGGGAGGCAGACTGGAAGAAAACAGAAGAACCTCATTTATCAGAGTCAATAATAATAGTAAGAATAATAATAATAATAATAATAATAATAATAATGAATTAGTACTCACTCCTGGGAGGCAGACTGGAAGAAAACAGAAGAACCTCATTTATCAGAGTAATTATATTTTTATTCATTTCCATTTTGAATTTTGCGGATTTAAAAAAAATTACGTTCTCCAATCTTGAAACGAATTCTTTATTTGATAATTAATTTACACACGCTGTACAAAGTACACTGTGCGAGATATTATTGTGTTAATATATTTACATAATTAATTCACACACGCTGTACAAAGCACACTATGCTAAAAGTTTGGTTTACAAAAGAATTGAGTTTTTGACGCAAACTCAAATTTTATATTCCCTTTATCTTTGCAAACTAATGGTGTAGACCTTTAATATTTCAAACTAAGATTGTTTGATCTTACAGAATAAAAAGTTTGTAATATCAAAGGTCTTTATTATTAGGTTGCAAAGATAAAGGGATTAGAAAAGTAGAAAATACTCAATTCCTTTACAATAATTAAAAAATTTTCTTGCCAAATTTATCATTTAAATAAGTTTCATTCCCAGATTTATTGTGACACTTTGTATTTGTAGGATACATTTGAATCACAGTCTGGAAATCTTAAACCGGTTTAGTACTGTACACTTTGTATTTGTAGGATACATTTGAAGCACAGCCTGGAATTCTTAAACCGGTTTAGTACTGTACACTTTGTATTTGTAGGATACATTTGAATCACAGTCTGGAAATCTTAAACCGGTTTAGTACTGTACACTTTGTATTTGTAGGATACATTTGAAGCACTGGAAATCTTAAACCGGTTTAGTACTGTACAAGTTCATGTTGTTGCACAACAAATAGGGCCGAGCACTGTTCATCTTCACTTTGATACATGTCTAGGTAACCCTTTATCATAGTTCGTTTTCAACATGCTTTTAAGGGTTTTGGGTTTTAAAAATATTTCAGAAAAATCTAAGAAATTTTACAAGGGAACTAAGTTTTTAACACAAGCTTATATTTACTTAACTCATAGTTCTGGTGATTTATTTTTTTTGCAAAAAAAATTTTCGTTGGTCCCAATTTAAGGGTAAAAATTTCACTAAAAATGTGTATAGGTCGGTGCTTACTAATGCAGTACATACTCCCCGTTGAGCCCCTACTGCAGAAGTTGGTCCATGTACTATACACGGAAAGGTCGAGCTGGTTCACTTTTCTGCCCCCACTAGCCAAGGTTTTACTCTGGGGGGAGTCTCTTCATCTCGAGAGGGATATTAGGTTAGTTTAAAAGTAGGAAATTAGGTGTCTCTTATGTTGATTTATATTTGAAATTGATTAACATCTTGATTGTTATATCTTCAATTTTTGTTTATTATTGTATAAAGCTTCAATTTAACCTGGATGAAGTTTCCATTTTTATGATTTAAAGGGACAAGAAAGACTTAATTTTAAGTTACCCTCCTTTTTTGTAAACATTTGAACATTTGTCTCAATCAAGGATGAAGGAGACTTCCTTGTTTTATTAACAGAAATTCAAATATTTGAAATATTTGAAACAATAAGATTATAATCTACAATCCCTTTAATGGATAATTTAAAATATTTGGAACAGTAAGATGTATCGGAGTCCAATACTAGGATACAGTCCCTTTAGGATGCATTATTTAAAGGATTTGGATCAGTAAGATGTATCGGAGTCCAATACTAGGATAAAGTCCCTTTAGGATGCATTATTTAAAGGATTTGGATCAGTAAGATGTATCGGAGTCCAATACTATAGGATACAGTCCCTTTAGGATGCATTATGTAAAGGATTTGGAACAGCAGGATTTATCTCTGGAGTCCAATACTAGGATACAGTCCCTTTGATAAATAATTTAAAGGATTTGGAACAGTAAGATGTATCTCCGGAGTCCAATACTAGGATACAGTCTCTTTAATAAATAATTTAAAGGATTTGGAACAGTAAGATGTATCTCCGAAGTCCAATACTAGGATACAGTCCCTTTAATAAATAATTTAAAGGATTTGGAACAATAATCTGTATCGGAGTCCAATACTAGGATACAGTCCCTGTAATAATTAATTTAAAGGATTTGGAACAGTAAGATGTATCTCTTGAGTCCAATACTAGGATACAGTCCCTGTAATAAATAATTTAAAGGATTTGGAACAATAATCTGTATCGGAGTCCAATACTAGGATACAGTCCCTGTAATAATTAATTTAAAGGATTTGGAACAGTAAGATGTATCTCTTGAGTCCAATACTAGGATACAGTCCCTGTAATAAATAATTTAAAGGATTTGGAACAGTAAGATGTATCTCCGGAGTCCAATACTAGGATATAGATCATTTAATGGATAATTTAAAGGATTTGGATCAGTAAGATGTATCGGAGTCCAATACTAGGATACAGTCCCTTTAGGATGCATTATTCAAAGGATTTGGAACAGTAAGATGTATCGGAGTCCAATACTAGGATACAGTCCCTTTAATAAATAATTTAAAGGATTTGGAACAGTAAGATGTATCTCCGGAGTCCAATACTAGGATACAGTCCCTTTAATAAATAATTGAAAGGATTTGGAACGATGTATCTCCGGAGTCCAATACTAGGATACAGTCCCTTTAATAAATAATTTAAAGGATTTGGAACAGTAAGATGTATCTCCGGAGTCCAATACTTGTTGCAGAGGATAAATATATTCAACAGTTCAGGAATAAATATATCTATAAATACAGTTTTTTTTTAAATAGTGAGAGGAATTGAGTCTTTGCCACAAACTCTGATTTTCTAATCCTTTCATCTTTGCAACCCAATGCCGTAGACCTTTGATATTTTAAATTATAGATTCTGTTTGATCAAATAATCTAAATTTGAAATATTTAGGGTTTTCACCATCTGGCTGGAAAGTTAAATTGAAAAATTGAGTTTGTGGCAAAGACTTAATTAAAATAATTCGCTTACACTTTCATATAAAATTTGCCTGAAGACTTTAAACGTTACTTAAATGTACGTAAAAACTTTAAAAGATCCTAATTTAGAGCTAAAAGTTCAAACTAAGCTTTTGGCGTGCACTGTGTTTTTTTAATTCTTATTGAAAGTAAAAACATTTTTTTTAAAGATTAAATGTTAAAATTTTTCGACTTTTGTTTTTGCATTGCCCAATATGTACTATAAGGCAATGTATTAAGAAAAACAAAGACTTTGTAAATAATAAATAAATAAGGTCTTTTGAATGAATTTTTTTTTCAAATTCTTCTTATAACTCTTGTAAAATAGGGAAAAGAAGCAAAAAAGCTAAAGAATCTTTGTAAATGATAAATATTACAGAAAGAAAAGATGAATGGATAGATGAATGAGAAATATATATATATTTATTAGACGGTGGTATTCTCAGTTCTATTCAACAAAACAAGCTGAAGACAACATATCAGAAAATAATGAATCCAGAAATTCAGCCTGTTTTAAGGAAACTACAGAATGGTAGATATTATGATATACAGGGTGTCCCAATAAACATGGGAATTAAATGAGGACGTCTATATTGTCTTTGTTCCAATGGGGATTATTTTGTAAATATAATTTTGTACTATCACAGTTAAACAATTTAACATCGAAAACTGCTAGCCTCGGGATTTCCATATGTGGTCTTCCATTTTTCACTTTAAAAATTTACGGAGATCATAGGAAAGGAATTGATTTTTTGCCACAACCTCAAATTTTCTATTCCCAATTTCTTTGCAACCTGATGGTGTAAATCTTTAATACTTCAACGTTGGGTTGCAAAGATATTGGGATCAGAAAATCAGTGTTTGTGGCAAAACTCAATTCCTTTGTCCAGTTTACTCTATAAAAATTAACAAAACTGTTCAATGTTCTATATCTTCGTCAATTTTAGAGATACAAAGAAGTTAGACCACAGTTTGGAAAGCTCGTAAGACATGACATTTATTAACTATCAGAAATCAAAGACGATATTCCAGTCGTCTTGCAATTCCCATGTTTATTGGGACACCCTGTATATTATGATTCAAAGGGACTACAGGGTGTCCCACGAAACATTACAATTGGTGAATAGTTTAAAATTCCATAATTTGATAAGTTGTTTTATACTAAAGAGACTAATAACATTTTTTATATGACAGTTATATTATAGTAAAATTGATTTCACTGTAATGTGAGTTAAAAATTTGTTAAAGAAATAAACTGCAAAAAGTCTTTAATATCTAATACAGTATGTTAAGAAGACATTGAAAACTATTCACCAACGGTCATACTTCGTGGGACACCCTGTATCTTTGTAAGTTTAACTCTTCTTTCATAGAACTCTATCACATTTTTAATCCTTCAAAAACATGCTGTTCGTTCTTTCTTAACGTTCATTTTTCATCTATTTCGTTTGTTTTCTCTGTGAAGGAAAGTTCAATAAAATCGTTTATTCAATGAAATAAAAAAATTTAAAAAAAATATTTTTAAAAATCGTTCTTGAATAAAAAGTAATCGTTTTTTTTAATTATTCCAAAAAATCGTTCGTTCAGTAAAAATTAAATATTTTAAAAAACGATGCAATTCATTAGAACTGGCTCAAATTTCACATCTCTAGAACTGGTTCTATTCACGTCTCTAGAACAGAGCTGAAAACTTTAGAATGGATAAACTTTAATCCCGACTTCTTGATCCGAATATCCATTGTGGAAACTTTTCATTTTAATCCTTAACTTAATCCACTCTTTTTCTCTCTCCTTGGATATCCGTTAATTGTTTTCTCCAATGAGAATATTTCTGTTCTCTCATTGGTTGCCCGCTTTTCTCTGATTGGCTGCTACAGTTTCTTATATGATTAAATATTAATTTGAATTTTATCGTTTTTCATACACTTTTAAGATAATCTTGCAAGATTATGTTAATCTCCAGATTAAGAAAAAGAGTGGATTAAGCCTTAATCCCGATATCCACCATTCAAAAGTTCCCAGCTCTGGTTATATATTTTATTCTGAATTATCATTATAGAAATTGAATTGTTACATAGCTGTAATCGATCATGAAATCATTTTCAATTCGTTCAATACCTTTTTCATTTTTTAGAACGATGTATATACAAATATTTTTTATTCTATTGTATTTAATCTATTTAAATATGTATTTACAATATACATGTTTATTACAATGTAAAACAATAAAAAAGCCATATTATTATAAAAAATTGCAAAAGAAACCATTTCCTCTTTGTTTACAAATAAAGTGTATTGCAGTTTCTGGAAGGAACATCTAAACAAAGCTGAGTCTATATTTGCTCCATGCAACCCTTAGATCAGAGATTTAAAGAATTGCAGGAAGTAGTTGAACCACTTGATCTACAATCTGTAGCAAAAAAGAAAAGGTTCAACCAAGTCTAAGTAGTTCAACAATGAATTAATAAATGAATCGTGAAACAACATTTAATCTTCATTTGCTCCTTTCTACCCCTGCAGGTCACAGAAGTAATGAATTGCACAAATTAGTTGAACCTCGTCTACTAAGTTGAACCACTAATTTTAGCGAAAAAGAACTGGTTCAACTTGGTCTAGATAGGTTAACAATGTTTTGAGGATGAATCAATGAATGAAAGGATGAATTACAAGTGTGCAGATTTCTCTTATGCACAAGTGTAACCCGAAAATAAGTAGTTCAACTTAGTCTAGATAGTTCAACAATGTCTCACTATTCATTAAATCTGCCCCCTGATGATCCAAATCAATAGCTGTATAGTTTGCTGCACGTGTTTCTCTGATTTTCATGCTGAGGTCCTGAGTACACTGATTAGTAAACACGAAATATATATTTGTCAGCAAATATAAGCACATGCATAGAAAACTTTTAGATGAATGGATAAATATAGAATCTTAAAGGGACTGTACATGTATTTTCAAGTGAATCTCTGTGCTAAAAATGTTATAATTTGATCGAGTGGAATGTGTTTAAACCATCATTTTCTAATATTTTGTGAAAAATCGAACTGCTATTGTGACTTTTTGAAGTTTTCAAACTTTTTGATTTTCTACAGAGAACTGTGGGATAGGAAGACGAATTAAAGCAATACTGAAGTGCATTTGATGTTGTTACACAGCACATAGCTTTACTAGTAAGTTATTAAACCACATATTAAGTAGTATGGGTCTGTTTACGTTTCACAATTCACGTGTCACGAGTTAATTGGACTTGTAAAGTAATAACTTGAGTTAAAGTCGACGTCCTGTTCCAGAGTTTTCTTATTCTCACTGTATGTTTATTTAACAATCCTTAAAGCAACTGGAGTATTTATAATGAGAAAACTATAAAAAAATATTTATTTTTAATCAAAAAAAATATTAATTTTACAACATTTATAACAAAAGATATTAAAAATAGATAAAGAAACTACTGAAAAGTAGAACTTTTTTTACAATTTTTACATTACACATATTCTGTTTTTTAAACTGAAATGACATTCACCATTGGTGGAATTTTCCGATTTGATTTTAAAAATTTTCTGGGCAAGGTGTTTTAAACTAGTTAAACCTCTTCTTGATTGATTTTAAACTAGTTAAACCTCTTCTTGATTGGTTTTAAACTAGTTAAACCTTTTCTTGATTGATTTTAAACTTGATAAATCTCTTCTTAGTTAATTTTAAACTAGTTAAACATCTTCTTAAGCGATTTAAAACTAGTTAAATCTCCTCTTGAGTGATTTTGAACTTGTTAAACCTCTTTTTAGTTGATTTTAAGCTTATTAAACCTCTTCTTGATTGGTTCAAACTAGTTAACCCTCTTCTTGATTGGTTTTAAACTAGTTAAACATCTTCTTGGTAAATTTTAAACTTGATAAACTTGATAAACTTGATTTATTTTAAACTTGTTAAACCTCTTCTTAGTTGATTTTAAACTTGATAAATCTCATCTTGATTTATTTTAAACTAGTTAAACATCTTCTTGATTAATTTTAAACTTGATAAATCCCTTTTTTATTTATTTTAAACTTGTTAAACCTCTTCTTGATTGATTTTAAACTTGTTAAACCTCAAATTGAATGATTTTACGCTAAATAAACCTATTCTTAGTTGATTTTAAGCTTGTTAAACCTCTACTTAAAAAACTCAAACTTGATAAACCTCTTCTTGATTGATTTAAAACTTATTAAACCTCTTCTGAATTGATTTAAAACTAGAAAAATCTCTTCTTGATTGTTTTTTAAACTAGTTGAATCTCTTCTTGATTTATTTTAAACTAGTTAAACCTCTTCTTGATTGATTTTGAACTTATTAAACCTCTTCTTAATTGATTTTATACTAGATACATCTCTTCTTGATGATTTAAAACTAGTTGAATCTCTTCTTGATTGATCTCTGACCCTCTAAACTTGTTCTCGAGTAGATCTAAAAAAAGAAATTGAGATGAAAGAGGATTGTTCAAGAATTGAAAGCTCTCAAAACTTTTAATTGAATCCACGATTTTGAAAAAAGTTTCTTACACTTTAATTAATGGGATAAGCTGCTAAAAATAGTATTTCTTGTGAATAAAAAAATTTCTAGAATTGGTAAAAAATAAAAACCGGAAAAAGTTTGATTTTGTTTCTGTGAAGTTGAGAGAAGCGAACCTGTAAAAAGAATTTGGTATTTTTCATAAGTTTTTCTATAAAATACTAGTAAAATAATGCTGGAAAGGTTAATTCGTAAAAAAATTGCCACTTTGAACTTTTCCAAAAGATTTTAAAGTTAATAATTTTGAAAGTAAGCAATCATAAATTTTCTTGTTTGACCAAAGCATAATGCTGATAATAAGAAATTTGAAGTAAAAGTGGTTGCAATAGCACGTAAAAATGAAGAAAAAAATATGTTGATTGTCTTTGTATTTACCCAAGGATTAAGGCAAGGAAAGTCATTTCAGAAGTGTACACATCTTTAGTACTGCAGTGTACTGTCTCTGGGCGCTAATGTAAACACAAGACGGATGTCGAAGCCTGGCATGGGATCCATCATTCACATAAAAAATCAATGAAATATTCTGGTCATAGGAAATTATTATGTGAATTATCAAAATTATCAAAATTTAATGCTTTTAACCTCCTCGGATACTTTAGGAACACTGATGCATCTATTATTGTTTACAAATTCCGCCCAGAGAGAACTGGTTTCAATATGTACACAGATTATACACAACCGCAATTGACTTTCCTTGCCCTACATTCTTGTATTTACCTATCATTGTGAGTATGCCTGAATATTTTCATTTCAATATTTGAGTGATCTTGGTCTTTAGGTTTATCTTGGTTTCTAGGTTTATCTTGGTTTCTAGGTTCATCCTGGTTTCTAAGTTGATCCTGGTTTCTAGGTTGATTCTGGTTTCTAGGTTGATCCTGGTTTCTAGGTTGAGCTCTATATTTGGTTCTAGGGTGAGCTTCTTGTTTAGATCCTTCCATAGTGTGAGTAATTACAGTATCACTTCTTCCTATAGATTAATATTGTGATTAATTGATTGTGAATCGGACATGCCTTTCTTTAATTGTCACTTAAAATTACGATGGCAGTCGTTTATCATAAAGTGTAAATAACTTTTAAAAATTCTAGCAAAAATACTTTGCAAATAAAAAAGAGGACTTTTTAAGCTTGACAAATTTAGAATCAAAGAGAATAGAATATATATTAGAGGGGAATTTACTAGAAAAAAAGTGTAAAACGGCCATTTTGTTGTACTGTTTCCATACTGCAGATGTACTTCACATATTTATGCTATATAACCTGTTGGGCCCTGTAATATCATTTATAAAAAATCTAAAATTAATATTAAAAGAAAACCAAATTATGAAATAGGCTGGTTTCATAATTGACCAATGACCATTTCACATAGACTCTATGCCTTTCACATTACAAACGATGATCTTCCGTTATAACTATAAATGGTGTTTTTTTATTCACCTGATTCATTATAAAGTTTATTTAACAGCTTTAAAAAATTCCAAGTTGAAATGGATAGTCTAGGGAACATACTGTATAGTGTATTAATGTACTCTACTGCATAAATTTGTGAACATTTACATGATTCGTACACTTTGAACTCCCTTTTAGGCTGAAAGGGACTGAAAAAATTAATACCGAGAGATTCTCTAAATTCCCCTCTAATATATATTATATTCTCTTTGTTTAGAATAGTATCCATTTTACAAAACTCATTTAAAATAGAATTACACTTGTTTAGATATATTGCAAACTGCAAGTGTATTTTCAATATAACATCCAATTACACTTGTTTAGATATATTGCAAACTGCAAGTGTATTTTCAATATAACATACAATTACACTTGTTTAGATATATTGCAAACTGCAAGTGTATTTTCAATATAACATACAATTACACTTGTTTAGATATATTGCAAACTGCAAGTGTATTTTCAATATAACATACAATTACACTTGTTTAGATATATTGCAAACTGCAAGTGTATTTTCAATATAACATACAATTTGTCTAACAACACAGTTTTAATTCTGTGTTGTAAATAAAAATCTATTTTTTTTATTTGCAACTAAAAGCATGAAATGGTTGCCATTCGAAATTGCTATTAAATAAAAATTTAGTTTGAAAACTTATAAACAAATTTTCTGGCTTTTCTAAGTAACACATTCCCCTCACCTAAGGCTAAAAGCTGGGCTTTTATACATACTGCCTAAGTCCTAAGTCATTCTGCCTAAATGTCTTATTTTACATACATCAGACTTGATCTATATTTAGACCAATTTCCGTTATTAAATTTCAACATTTTACAGCTCTTTGAAAACCCTATAACAAAAGCAAGCAAATTGCACAATTTTTGCAAAGAAATGTTGCACAAATTTTTGAAAAGACGCCTTTAAAGGGAATTTGCACATTTTCAGTTTTTCTTGAATACATTAGGTTTTAAAAATTTTGCAAATGTTTTTGCATCTTTGAATTTGCTGGGTCAAGGGCTTTTCAAATATTTAAAATTTGTTGCAATTTGCGCAATTTTCTTTTTGCTAATTTTTTGCCTAATAACTAGATTTCGCAATAAATATTAGAAAAAAGAAAATATGACCCCCCGCCCCAGGCAACCAGTCAGTAAACCAGACGTCAGGTTAAATAGGGTTTTAAATAAAATGGCACAAGTTATTAATTTTGATATTTCAGAGCTGTTTAGAGTGTTGTAAAGAATAAAGAATGTACAATAGAACGGTTTTTTGATTCTTTTTTGACGATAAATGTTTAAAACGGTTTTTAAATAAAACATAATTTGAAAAACTAAAATTCGAATAAAATTGTGTTTGCTTTATTGTTTAACTTTAAAATGATAACGTACAAATAATTGCAAATTTACTTAAATGAACCTATTAACTAAGTTAAATAATAAAGACTTTTCTTCTCATAAAAAGAGAAAAAATTAAGAAATTACCTAAACAAGGGGAGTTCTGTTCCACGCCATCTTTCCTAGATAAAAGTGACTTTAAAACTATGATATTTCATTTGACCCTCTGTTAACCCTAAACAGGCTGGGGGTAGGGATGGGCTGTTTTGATTTTTTTAAAGTTAGTTTTGTTCCGTTAGCGATGAAAAAACCTGTAAACGAAACGATCGTTTTGAAGAAAACGATAGTTTTCAAAACGATCGTTTTCAAAAATGGAAAAACGATCGTATTTTAGTGAAAGATATAAATTTGAATCTGCAAACGAGAAAAAATTTTAAATAAAATTTAAACAAAAATGATTGTTTTTGCATAAAAACTATAGTTATTTCAAATCATTTCACATTTTTAAAAGATTGAAACCAACACTTCGTTAGTTTTAACAGTTCGTTTTTTCTAAAAACGAATGTTAGTCAGTTTGAAAAATCCTAAACGAATCCGATCAATTTTGAAAACGATAAACCTGGGAAGGAACCATGATTTTAAGAATTACATTTTGTTTTAATGCTATAGGAGGGTACAGGACGGTAAACAAATTAAGAGTTGTACGTCCTGCGTAATATATCACTAAACTTTCTTATACAATTTGAGAGAGAGAATATTCGATTTTTTGCCTATGTCACCCCCAGGAGACCCCCAGCAGTTTGATTTGTTTACGATCCGAGTTGAATGTTGCATCTTTCTGAATTTGTATGGACACTACGTTCTTCGGTATGAGCCGTTTTTAACAATTTTCTCCTTAGTAGCGATCAAAAGAGCTTTTTTATCGCATTAAGCCTATACCCCTTTTCATTTTTCGCGAACACTCAATTTCTATATATATATATATATATATATATAAAAACCAACACCTTATAGCGCTGGAATGACCTCCAAAACGTATGCATTGCTGCCTGCTCTGTTGCCTGGAAATAAACATTTCAAATTATATATATAAAAAATTCTCTACAATATATACTCCACTCTCCGCTCAACTACCGTGTCTAGCTAGACACTCCCTTAAACACTTAACGTTGTCTTTCTTCAGCTTATGTTTTCTTATTGGTTAGCTTTGATGCATTTTCAAGTAACCCTAATTTGAAAATTACAAACAGTACCTTTTGAACCATAAAACCATGAACTATAGAGATATTCTTTTTGTTTCTAAAAATTAACGATTTCCAATGGGTTTTCTCTAAATATGTGACTTGCAAAATTACGCCGGAAGTCCCTTTAAAGAGACTGTAAGTTAATTTCAAGTGACCCTCCATGAAAAGATTAATGTCCGTTTCACCCTTAAAAGCTTTGTCTGATGATGTGTGAATCAGATCTTAATGTTTATAATTTTGAAAACTAATTATTTTAATTGTGGTTTCTCTACAAATCAGTGAATTTTGCATTTCTACTGCAGGAGAAAATGTAGAACAATTGCAAGATCCAATTAAAGACCTAGAAAAACATCAATATCTTCCACATTATTGATTAGATAAAGGTACTGTTGTGAATCGAGAATTGTCATTTTTGCATGATGAATTATTTGAAATTAAGCTCACGACCCTTTTAACATGAAAATGTTTAGTTTTTACCGTAAGGAACTCTCTCTCTTCTGATCATACCGAACCTAAAGTAAAAAAGTTTTAAAAATCTAACAAAAAAATTGAATGAAATCTGAAACTGTTTTTTTTTGCTTGAAAAAAACATATTTATTTTCATAAATGCATTTAAGGGGGTTTTGAAAATATTTCAATTTGGAACTTTTTTTGTAAAGTGCAATTTCCCAATAAGGGGGATTTCCTTGCAAAGGAATTAACTTAGCACATTATCCCCTTGTTTACAGAGTTGTTCCCAGGAAATTGCAACTAGCTTTAGTAAATGGTTTTGGGATTTTCAATTTCTAAACTAATTTCGGATTTCATCTCAACTACTTAATTAAACTGGTTTTGTTAAGTAAACCGACCGAGGTTTTCTGTGAGTCTTAAAGGTGGCAACTTTTGAAATTAAAATTTAACTCGTTTAATTTTTTAATTGAATTTTTCTGCTCAAACTTAAACATCTCAGATTAAAATTAGTAATTCATTACAAACACCATTTTTTATTAATTCAAATTTAGAAATTGTTCGAGCACTTGTTTTAATACAATTTGGACATTTTTACATATAACAAGCTTTGGAGCAGGTGGGAGAGAGATTAGAAATAGTTTAGAAAATATGGAAATCAATTAAACTTATTAAACATTATAGCAAATTGATTACTTGATAGTAATGCTAAAATGAAATTTCCACTAAAGTGACCACTGAGCATGAATGATAAAGTAGACAAAATTAAAATATAAACCTTGTACTGAAACCATTTCTTGGTGATTGCAGTTCTAACATCTTGTGAGAGCGCACAGTAAAATATACTGACCACGGTGCCCTAAATATAAAATAATGTCGGCGTTTATAACACTACAAGGAAAACGCATTTTATATTTAAGTTTTAATTTCTAACAAGGTTTCTTCAATATGCAAGTTCACAAATGCCCCAAAAAGAAGCTGTTAATTAACAGCTTCTTTTTGTTTTCATATTTATGTGTCTCCATGTTGTTCGTAAGCTTAGAAGAAATTGAAATTTAAATCAATAAATGTCGTTATTGTATTGATTTATAGGACGACCCATGTAAATAAATTTTTTGGAAGAAAATAAACAAATTTTGTAAAAATATTTCCGAAAATTTTAAAAATATTTCTGCAAATACTGTTGAAAGTTTTTTTTTATATTTTTATTGACTTTTACAATATGAACTGTTGTTTTTTAAAATGTTTTTCAAAATTTAGATAATTTCTTGAAAAAAATATTAAACAAGTTAAAAGGTTGCTTGTCAGAAAACATATAAATTACAGGGTTACCAACAGAGGATGAGACTGTAAAGACGACTTGAAACTGTTTCAGCATGACGAATAATATAAATATAATTTTGTTACGACTTATTCAATAATTAGATAAAAAAAACTTGGAATCATAAATCTAGGTAAACAGACAGTAAATTATCTTACAATCGTATCATTCTTTGTGGGTAACCCTGTATTGAAAATCTAATTTAGTTTTGAAAAAAAAAAAATTTCAAATAATGAAGCATCTTTAGCATTCATCGTTTTGTATTTTATATCTTGGTAATTCAATACTAAATTCAAAGTTTAAAAATAATTAGAAAAGTTAAGAAAAGAAAAACATATAAAATTCAAAACTATGACCAAGGCTGGAGAAAAGGAGTATTGAAAACTATGAGCAAGGATGGAGGAAAGGAGTATTGAAAACTATGACCAAGGATGGAGGAAAGGAGTATTGAAAACTATAAGCAAGGCTGGAGAAAAGGACTATTGAAAACTATGAGCAAGGCTGGAGAAAAGGAGTATTGAAAACTATAAGCAAGGATGGAGGAAAGGAGTATTGAAAACTATGACCAAGGCTGGAGGAAAGGAGTATTGAAAACTATGACCAAGGCTGGAGAAAAGGAGTATTGAAAAAACAAATTTTTATACTTCCTTTATTTATTAGAAAATGTACGAATGCAAGTGAATTAGAGACCAAAATAAATATTGTAAAGTTTGAAATCTTATTTTTTTATTTAAAAATAATTTGTATTGAAGAGCTTTTGAGAAGAACAAACATATCTTTAATATGTAAACAAATAAAGAAACTGAACACTCGAACACTGGCCAAAAATTCAAATTTTCTAATCCAAACATCTCGTCAACCTGATGTCGTAGACCTTAGATATTTCAAATTCTGAAATTTTTAGGTCAATTAGTCTAATTTTAAAATATCAAAGGTTCTCGCATTCAGGTTGCAATGATATAAGAATATTAAATCGGAGTATGTTGCGAGTTCCTTAGATACTTGTTCGTAAAATAAGAACTAGAGGAACTACGCGGTCACAAAGTCGTACTACTAATGATGCATAATAAAAGTACCTGAAGTCCTTTAAGAACTGCATTAGTGACCATATAAGCATCTTCATATGGTCCCCCATCCCTGCACACAAAATTAAATTAAAGAGACTGGATGCGTAATTTCCTGTGACCCTATAATTAGATCAGGGTTCAGTGTTTGTTAGATCCAAGATGAATGATATTATCGAAACATTTCTTTAAATGATTTCTCTATCAAAGTTATTAGCGAATGTATACTTCAGAGACAATTGGGGAATTTAACTAAAAACGTTTTCAGAAAAACAACGATATCTTCCTCTCTGTTCCTCATATAGATGTTTAAGGGTACCGTTGTCAATCAGAAAACCTATTCTTTAATTGTGAAATCACTTGAATTAACTCAAAAAAAATATTTTTTAAGGTTTTGACTAGATTGGTTTTATAAAAACAATGATTTAAATTCATAATAGATTATTTTTATTAGCTTTATCTTAAAAGTTTTATTCATTATTTATTCTGCCCAAAACACAGTTCTGTCGAAATAGCAGAAGACTTTTAAAAAAATATATTTGTTTAAATTCTTCCAATTAAAATTCATATATATGTATATATATATATATAGAGAGATGTTTAGGTGTTAGGCATTTTCCCAAGGGCCGCAGGATGCAAGCGCTGTGACTAGGACCCTTAAAAAGAATATTTGTTCTGCAATTAAAATTTAAGAAAAATTGACCAAAAGGTTCAAAACCCCAAACAGAGAGTACTACTTTATATTTATATTTATATATATAGATATTCAGGTGTTAGGCATTTTCCCAAGGGCCGCAGGATGCAAGCGCTGTGACTAGGACCCTTAAAAAGAATATTTGTTCTGCAATTAAAATTTAAGAAAAATTGACCAAAAGGTTCAAAACCCCAAACAGAGAGTACTACTTTATATTTATATTTATATATATAGATATTCAGGTGTTAGGCATTTTCCCAAGTGCCGCAGGATACGATCGGGGTACGAGCGCTGTGACTAGGATGGGCTATTCGGGTATCGAGCATACGTTTACCTTGGATTTATGCAGAAGAGTAGACTACTCATTCCCAGGAAGAAGAAGAGTACAACAGTTGCTTTCATTGCTTTCCTGAATACAACATACAGTTAGAGATGGACATCATTTTTGAGAACAAATAAAATTACCGTTAATAAACGTTTTTGATTTTATTAATGGCGTTAACGAAAAATTTTCAACAACCGTTAACGGTGCCGGTCAATAGCGGTTTAAGAAATTTCATTAACTGTTAAATAACTCGTTCTCTGCTCAGCCGTAATGGTTAATTTAACATGAACAGTTAAGAAATCGTTCTTTTCTTAGCATTTCAGCTTTTTAAAAACAGAAAACTATATTTAAAACCTTCAAAACACGTTAACATTTTTTTTACAAATTGAATACTATTTTTGGTTGAAAATCCGTTCTGTTAACGTTTTAAAAATTAACGGTTTTTTTGCCGTTCTTTAAAGGACACTTCCGTTAATTTTCGAAAATCTCCGTTCCATTAACGGAACTTTGCCCAGCCCTCAGGTGGATTTAACGGTGATGTCAATATGTCAGAAAGCTGTTACTTTCGATCCCAATTTGACCCATTATGCATAATTTTGTAACCTTTTTTTTAAGTACTTTTTTGTCGGTATATACATTTTGAATAAAAAAATTATAAATAAACAGATTACAGATCTGTTTATTTATAATTTCTTAATTTTTCAATTTTAATAGTTTAAAGATTGTTGAATCATAGACCAAAACATGTTTTATTTCAAATAAAAAATACCGAATGCTTCTCACTCTGGTTAGTTTGGGGTGCCCTATGACGCAATACGAAGATTCAGACCCTTCAACAATTACTGGTAAAACTATTTGCATTTTAACAGCATAAGATACTCATAAGATTGCTAAAATATCGTTGTTTAATTTCAAATATTTATGAATCTGTCTGAATAATACATATATATTTAGTTACAGCATTAAGTCAGTACAATGTTTCATTATTAATCCCAGGAATTCGCGGAAAAATCCGGTGTAAATATCGACAGAAATTGGAGATTTTCGCGAGAATTTCGGAGAAAGATTCTCCATTGAGAAATTCCTATGATGAACACCGTGGTATAGTGACAGGGGTTTTGTCCGGGCTGGAGATTTTCGTGCAACCATTTCCCTCGAATTTCTCGTAACATATTCCGAGGAATTTCTCGTAACCAATTCCAGGGAATATCTTGTTACTAAATACGGAGAAAAACCGGAAAAATGGCGACCAAATTTGGGGAAATTCTTTGGAAATTTCAAGAGAAAGGTTCCGGCGAACCAATTCCTGGGAATTTCCTGGGAACTATTCCCAAGATATCTTTAGAGTATTCCTCGCTACAACTCGGGACAAAATATAACGTAAAAAGGGTTGAACCTTCTCGCTAAAGAGAAAATTTCTGTCTAAAAACTTTACAGCACTGCAGATCAAAATAATTAGTGTTATAAATAATTATAATTCTTTATATTTATCTGTTAATTTGTTATAAAAAATGTCTTTAAAATGCATATAAGATTTTTAACTTATACTTTTGTCAATAAATAAGAAACTTCTCGAATAAAAACTGAAATATCTGCAAGACAAATGGCTTCAATAAAAAGAAAGAATAACGATGAGCCTCAACTCAGAATTTTAGAAGAATATAAAGGCAATAAAATACTCAATTTCATTCCGGATTTAATAGAAGAAGGGAAAGAATTTAAATATTACTGTATTATTAAATTTTTCAACAATTTTAAAATTTTAAATCTGCAAAGGAATTGAGTTTTTGCCACAAACTCTGAATTTTAAATCCCTATATATTAACAACCCAATGGCGTAGACCTTAGATATTTCAAACTATGACTTCTGCTACATCAAACAATATAAGTTTGAAATATCAAGGTTTACATCATTTGGTTGTAGATATATGGGTATTAGAAAGTTGGTATTTGTGGCAAAGACTCATTTCCTTATGCATTGAAGTTTCTCAATCTGCAGAATGTGCTTAACCCGTTTTTTGCCAATTCATATCATAGATACTTTAAAGTAATGAGCTCTCAACGTAATTTCATGTCAATTTCAATATTAAAGAGACTGCTCTCGTTATTTCAAGTGATCCTCCATACAAATATAACAATAACTCATGCATAACAGTACCCTTGAAAGTTTTAAATGATCAAGCATGAATAATATATTAATGTGCGTAATTTTGCAACCTTATCATTTTACTTGTGGGTTTTCTGCAAAAGTGGCTTTAGCATGTCTACAGAAGAAAAACAAACAGGATTATCAGTTTTAAACCTAGAAAAACAGCAATATCTTCCACATTTTTTATCGTAAATAGGTAAAAAAGGCACTGTTGTGAATCAAGCATGACCATTTTTCCATTATGGTCACGTGATATTATGCTTTCAGGCCAGATGCTGGCATGTGCTTTTTAAACCTTCATCGGAGTGAGGAAGATATCGTCGTCTTTAAACTAGCTTTAAAGGGAGTGTTCGCGAAAAATGAAAGGGGGTAAAGGCTTAAATGCGATAACTAACGCTACTAATCTTACAACTATCTGTTGCGTCTATAAGGAGAAAATTGTTAAAAACGACTCACACCAAAGAATGCAGCGTCCATACAAATTCGGAAAGATGCAACATTCAACTCGGATCGTAAACAAATCAATTTAATTCCAAACAAATCATTCAGATATTACAAACAGAAGTCATCGATTATTTTTCGACGCATTCGTATATAGTTAATATTTCATAAAATTTTTGATTTTTTTTTATAATTTTCGCTTGCGTTAGATTTTCGAAGATTCCCGGAAAATATGAAAATGCCGTCCTCATCATCAAAAATCCTCTAAACAGGAATAAATGTTTATGAATGCGTCGAAAAAGAATCGATGACTATTGTTTGTAATATCTGAATGATTTGTTTGGAATTAAATTGATTTGTTTACGATCCGAGTTGAATGTTGCATCTTTCTGAATTTGTATGGACACTACGTTCTTCGGTATGAGCCGTTTTTAACAATTTTCTCCTTAGTAGCGATCAAAAGAGCTTTTTTATCGCATTAAGCCTATACCCCTTTTCATTTTTCGCGAACACTCAATTTCTCTAAAATTTCTTACTATTTATAAACAGAGGTTCACCTGAAATTACGCAAACTGTCCCTTTAAGCATAATTAAACTTTAATTTAAAACATGCAGTTTGTGTTTAAGTAAACTAGCAAATATACTAACTTGCTTGGTGGCTTTAGTCAAACAAAACTAATCTAGTTAAAAGCAAATTAGAGCTCGTTGCAAAAAACTTGTTGCAAAAAAATGTCATTTGCTTACCACCAAGCAAGTGCTGTCATTCGCTGTGTGCCTGAAGGGAAATTTATAATTCGCACATTTTTTCCAGGGTGAAGTGACGTCACGTAGTCAAGCGAACTAAAATACAAACCTAGATCTTAGAATTCTTTAAAATATGAAATTTACACTAGAAGAAAATACTTTTTTTTCTATTTTTATCCACAATGTTGAAAAAGTGTAAAATAAATCCATGTCCGAATTTAATGAATCTAAGCCGCGTATGAAATCCCTCTAAAACTGGTTTCAACTCAGCGCCGGCATAAATCTTGAAAAATCTAATACAATTTTAAGTGGAACCAACCATATTTGAGCCACGGCTTAAATTTAAGCCGCGGAGAAATGCTTAAATGCAGAAGTTGCAAATATGTTTGATGTCAAAATCAGAGCAAAAGTAAAGTTTGAATTTTATCTTGTCATACTCAGACTCCTTCTATTTCATTCCAGCAATCTAAAGAAGGATTAAAGGGACTGTAAGCGTAATTTCAAGTGACCCTTCATGCAAAGATGCAAATGCCCTTTTTATTACGAAACCCTTGACATCTTATTCGGATCAAAAATGTGGATAATATCGTCGTGTTTCTGACTCACAAGGTGTTTATTTCTGTAAGTTTCTCCGTTGTTTCATATAATACAAGTCACTTTCGCAGAGAAAACGCAAATAAAATAAATTTTTTCAGAAGCAAAACATTGAAATCTAATTCATACTTTATCAGACAAAGCTTTCAAGGGCACCGTTGTAAATCGCGCATCGTCGACTCTTCGCATGGAGGGTCACTTGAAATATTGCTCACAGTCCCTTTAACCCAATTCCTTACATAACTCAAACAGTATTGGTCTGAGGTTGTTAACATTCTCTGACTTTTCCTAAATACCCATAGCCCTCCCTTTAGGTCTAAAACAGGACTTTTATATTACCGCCTGAGTCCTCGGGTGCACTGCATGAATGACTACTTTTTTCTGTAACAAACTAAATCTTTGTTTTTACCCACTTTCGGGTGTCAGATTTTGATAAATTTGAGCTTTTTGGAAAGCCTTTGACATAAGGAAACGGATTGCACAAGTTTTGCAAAGAAATTTTCGCAAATTATTTACATACAACCTGTCAAAAGAAAGTTTTTTACACATCAGAGTTGAACACTTTAGAATGGGATATCCTTAATCCGGATCAGTTAATCAATCTGTAGATTAATAACAAGAGGAGAACAAGCATTTTTTAATCTGTAGATTAATAACAAGAGGAGAACAAGCATTATTTTATCTGTAGATTAATAACAAGAGGAGAACAAGCAAAATTTAATCTGGAGATTAATAACCAGAGGAGATCTAGCATTGAACCCGATATCCAACATCCATTTTTTTTTTAAATGTATATTATTTTATCATTTTTTTGGACATTTTTTTTGCAAACATTTTTACAATATAACTGAATTCTGCAACAACAAAATCTATTTTTGCAAATTTGCAATTTGTTTAGCAGATTATAAAAGTACAGCACAAGTACCATTTGTAATATGTATACATTAAACATGGGATTTAGAAGTGAGAGGTCAAATTTAACCCCCCCCCCCCAGCATATCCTGGTTTTCAAGTACACCAGCAGGGATAGGATTAAGGAAACCAAACCTGTTGGAAAATTGAAGAAACAACAAAATGGATAAGGTGGAGACACCATTAATGGAAATGTTTACCGATTTCAAAAAAAAAGAAAAATTTGAATAATGCTAAAATGTTTGGCTTTCTAAAGCCGTCGTTTTCTTAATTATCACAATACTAACAATTTAGCGGCCTTACTGTTTTTTTACTTGATAAATTTTAGAGAAAAAAAATAAACATCTTTTAGAAAAATTTTACAATATTGACCAGTCAAAAAACCTCTTCTGGGGTCTCGTAATGTGAGCCCAATCGTTTAGACGTTTGTTGGTTACATACGCACAAACCAAATATATATAATATGCATAAATGTAAACCAAGGGGGAGCATAACAAAAAATATCAGAAAGTATGTTAGAGAATTTAATCTATAGGCCCCTCCCACCGAACACTCACTCAAGAAAATATATTTCTATCAGCCGGGTTTCTTGAAATCACACCTCCACCGCAATAAAAATTTTCCTAGGTTAGATTGATATTACAAGAAAAAGCAAGAGGAGATGATGATTTCCAAGAAAAAAGTTTTTTGCCTTCAGAGAATGACTGTAAGGATAAAAGGGGGGGATGGGATAAAATTGAAAATTTAAAGAGAAGTAGAAAAGATTTGCGAAGAAAAATGAAAAAAGGATGAATGCAAATTTTTTTTTAAAATTGCATGTTTGGAGAAATTGTATACTTGGAGGAATTTCCTTTAAAAAATCCATGTAAAGGAATTGAGTCTTTGCCACAAACTCTGATTTTCTAATCACTATATCTTTGCAACCAAATGTTGTAGACCTTAGATATTTCAAACCCCGTCAGGACAAATGGAGGAAAATGTACGTTAGATTGTGACGTATGTATTTAGGTTAATCAACTACACAGATCATTGTTATTAGGTGCAGTAAGTGGAAAAGGGATTTGAAAATAAACCAAAATTTCGTGGGGGGGGGGGGGTGATTTTATTGATGGACTATTTGGGTTATAAAAAGAATTGTAACTTTTTCTTCACCTTAATCATACATGATAAAATGGTAAATGAAGACAACTTCTCATAAATATACAGTGCTCCCCAAAATAAAATGGTAAGCATTGGTGACTTCTCAAAATATACAGTGCTTCCCTAAATAAAATAACAAGCATTGAAAACTTCTTATAAATATACAGTGCTCCCCAAAATAAGATGGTAAGCATAGACTACTTCTCAGAAATATTCAGTGCTCCCCAAAATGATATGGTAAGCATAGACGACTACTCATAAATATACAGAGCTCCTCAAAATGATATGGTAAGTGATGATGAATTTTCATAAATATACAGTGCTTCTTGAAAAATAGATTGCATATTAAAGAAAAGTCGTCTTCACATCAACCTTTTATTACCGTATATTTATCAAAAGCCACCAATCTTTACCATTCAATTTTCGGAAGGACTGTTTATTTAATACAAGTCGTCTTTATTTTCCACTTTATTTTGGAGAGCACTTAATATTTAAGAGAAGTCGTCTATTCCTACTATATTTTTTGGGGGGAGCACTGAATATTTATAAGAAGTCGTCTTCATTTTCCATATTATTTTGGAGAGCACTGGATATTTTGAAAAGTCGCCAATACTTACCAATTTATTTTGGGGAGCACTGTATATTTATGAGAAGTTGTCTTCATTTTCCATTTTATCATGTATGATTTTAACCCAAATAGTCCATGAATAAAATCCCCCCCCTCAGCGAAATTTTGGTTTATTTTCAAATCCCTTTTCCACGTACTGCACCTAATAACAATGATCAGTGTAGTTGATTAACCTAAATACATACGTCACAATCTAGCGTACATTTTCCTCCATTTGTCCTGACGGGTTTCAAACTAGGAATTCTGTTAAATCAAATAATCAGAGTTTGAAATATCAAAGGTTTACAACATCGGGTTCTAAAAATATTGGGGTTTAAATATTTGATTTTGTTACAGAGATTCAATTCCTTTAAAGATTTGGCCAAATCTTCCAATGTTAATCCATCTATACATATAAACACTTTGCTTGTCTGGGTGGGTGTCTGTTTGTTTGTATCCAATAAACGTCAAAATAGCTGAACAGATCCGGCCCAAATTTTTTATGGTATCCCACATGACCCCAGGGAAGGTTTTTCAATGATCAGAATTTCAAAAATTTGCCTCCAACAAAATTCAATTTCCAATAATGCGATTTTTTCCATTGTTTCTATTGAACAAAAAATGAGCAGGTCGCTTTCGTAGAGAAACCGAAAATGAAAATAAACAATTAAAAAAAAACATTGGTATCCAATTCATACTTGATCTTTGTAAACAGGGCATCGCCTTTTTTGGTGGAGAGTCACTTGAAATTGCGCATACAGTCCCTTTAAATGAAAGAAAAGAAGTTTAACTACCACTTCCAACTGAAACTTTGTCCACCAACTTAATTAATCCTGGTTTCAGCGTAAACTTAATTAATCCTGGTTTCAGCGTAAACTTAATTAATCCTTGTTTCAGCGTAAACTTAATTAATCCTGGTTTCAGCGTAAACTTCAGATGTACCACTGCACTGCAAACCAAGATGTGCACGTAGTATTTTGCTTAAAATGTATAAGTGAGTTGGCATTGTAAAACCAAGGTCAAGTCGATGCAACACTTGCAAGTCGAGGCTGTATACAAATTGGATGAGGCTGTTTACAAGTTTCAGAGTTGTATTTACCACAATAACCGTTTATATAATTTTAAAGATGTCAAATTTCAAACTTACAACATGAAGGAATAAATGATAGGAAAACTATTACTGTTTAAAGTTTGCAGAATAATAAACCGACGAGAGAAACTTTTGTTTCAGATATTGGTTGGATTCAACGCCTGAGCCCTTTGGGACAAACTTTGTAAAAACCCGGGGAAACATTCATGATCATATCAATTGCACCTTCTGACATGTGAGAAAGGTGGAAAAGTTAGTTAAACCAATGAGAGCCCTTAACCACTGAAATCCAGCCAATAGGCTAATTTCTGATTGGGATTGTTTTACTTGCTCTCATTGGTTGATTGCAAAGTAATTCCACCTATGACTGTGCTGCACGCTCGCTCTTCTGCTAAGATGAAGAAATCAAAGATTAAATAAAACATAAAAGTTTTACCATCTGGAGGAGATTTCTGCCAAATGAGAACTAATGTTCAAATTTGGCTGAAGATGCAACGCTTCCAACAATAGATTTATTTTCCCTAGTCTGAATAGATGGATAATTGGGAGTAAAATTTTGTTGGGGGGGGGAGGGAGGAGGTCCAAGATTGAGGGAATGTCAATGATGATGTAGGGGGATTATTTCGTGAGGTAAATTAGGAAACCGATTTGTGAATTCTACATTGATAATTTATCATACTAGGCTGTTTTCTTTGTATACATTGTAAAACAAAAACTAAAACAATATTTGCGGATTTTATAAAAAAAATCGTGGATT